AGGCATGCCCGGTCACCTCCCCCGAGCCTTTATTCGCAAGCCGCCTGACAAGGCCTCAGCACGCCCTAAATAAAGCACACTCACGCCCCAAGCAGCTTACCTTTAAGATGTCTGATGTCATGGTTTTCAGGGGTATCAGTCGGGGGTCGTGCATGTGGACGTCCTGCTCGTCTGCCAGGATCCAGGGGAAGTCCTAGGGAGGGGACAAGGGGAGGGTGGCAGGGGGCTGGTCCGTGGCCTGCCCTCACTTTGCTGCCCTCTCCCCTTCCGGAGCTGGCATCCTCAGACTTCCGGGGAGCGTCAGTCACCAGGGAATCGCTGGCCGTGCAGATTCCCAGGTTCCCCCACCGGAGAGAGGCTAAGTCTGTAGATCTGAGCTGGGTTGGGAGCCCCAGTGATTTAACAAGCCCCAAACACCAGTTCTGAAACTGGATCAAGGATCCCCTCCCTTGAGAACCCCCAATGAGCTGGTGGCTCTCCCTGCCCTCAGCACCCAGTGCCCAGGTGGGGCGATGACAAGCAGGTGGCCACAGAGCCAGCGCACAGTGAGAGCCTACCGATGCCAGGCGCTGCCATACGAAGTGTAATGAATGCCCTGCCATAGGCAACGCCCTCGCTCTCATGGAACCCTGGTTTTCAGAGCCTCCCAGCGATCTCCCTGCCCGCCCTCCCACACCAGTCTCATCTCACCTTGATGACCTGGATCTTCTCCATGTTGCGAGTGGCGGCTTCTCTCGTGTGCACTAAGACTGTGAAGGTACAGCCTAAAGAGGCCAGAGTTTGGTCAAGCCTGGGCCACCCCATGCCTGCCGCGTGGCACAGCCTCTTCCCACCTCCCTAGCTGGCTCAGCAGCCCCGCAAAGCAGAGTGTAAACCCAGTGCTCAGACAAGTCACAGTCAACAGGGAGACTAAAGCCCAGGTGGAGTCCATCAGGGAAGCTTCCTGCAGGAGGTGGGCTTTCAAAAGAGTTCTAAAAGGCAGGAAGGAAGAGAGGAGGCTTGGTGCAGCCAAGTAGGGACCTGAGGACACAGACCAACACAGGTAGCCATGGAAATTGCCCAGGGAAGAGGGGATGGGAGTGAGCACACCTGGGGGGTTGTGGTCCAGGACAGCATCACATACACTGATCTTCAGGATGAAGGCTCGGAGCAGCTGCTCCACATGAGACAGCAGGGAGTCTGAGCTGGGAAGCAGAGAAGAGGAGGGTCTCCCAGCACATGGGTGTCCCCCTCCCACCAGCAGGCAAGCAACCCTGGGAGCAGCCCTGGCGGTGCAGAGCCCCCCTAGTGCTTCTGAGTGTATTGACTTCTGAGGCCCTGGCTACCTGTCTCTACACAGTTGACATCATCTGGGGAGTTTAAAACTAAAGCCGAGTCCCATCCCAGGCTAATTAAGTCAGAGTGCGGGGCGGGGAAGGGGCACAGGGAACCCCAGTAGGTGGTTCTAATGTGCAGCCCAGTCTGAGAACCGGGACACCAAGCCGGGAAGGGACAGGGCTTGCCCGAGACCACATAGCAAGTGGGGACAGATTCTAGTGCCCTGACCTCACCACACGAAGCTGGCAGCTGACCAGCCCAACGTGCCCATCCAAGGTCAGCTTCTAGTTCACTAGGGACTGGATGGATGCTTGACTGGGAAGTCAGGAAACTGGGTCTGTGTCCTGGCTCTGGGTGACCAGGTCAAGATCATCTCTCGGGACCCTGGTTTCTCCATCTATAAAATGAGGTCGGGACTAGCCATTCACCAACGTTGTGATTTTTCAGGTGTGAAACTGGAGGGTCTCCGTGTAACCTGTGTGATGTCCACAGAGACCACTGGGCGGCCAGCTGTGACTCAGACACTAACAGGCCTCGTTAGGTCAGCTCACCTTGCCATGTCTCCTCTCAGGCCTTTAGCAAGGCATTCAGGGGCTGCCTTAAAGGGGTGGGGGTGGCCGTGTTACTAGGGACCTCACACCAGCGAGCACGTGGATGGGGGCCGAGGCAGCACACCTGATGGACAGCAGCGGAGGCTGCGTGATTTCGAAGACGAATTTCTCCACTGGGCGGTGCTCCTTGTCCAAGATGACTACCACCACTTTCTCCACATCGTTCTGCAAGGACAGGAAGCCCCGATTCCAGAACTGGACACCCACCTCCCCCTTACCCCACCCCCCAGCCCCTGCCCCCTGCTCCCTGCCCAGGGAAGAATGGGAAAGGTGCACTCACGGCCCTGCTCAGCTTCTAGGCCCAGAGTCCCTGAGAGCCCAGAAGGAGGTTTGAGAAGTTGAAGTATGCACCCCCAGACATGAGTGGTACCCGCGGAGGGGAGAGGATGCCTGGGCCCCGCAGGAGACCCAGGGTGCCACAGGGAGCAGAACAAGGTAGAATAAGGAAGCCCTGAGGGGCCAAGCTCAGACAGATCTTGGGGCCAGAGGGGGAGAAAAGAACAGGTGAGAAGGACCCAAAACCCTCTGGGCAGGCCCCAGTCAGCCAACTCCACTAACCAGGGCTCCCGGGCCCAGGGGTGGCCTCCAGAGTGCAGGGCACAGGCTTCTGGGTGTTAAGAGTCATGGGGACCCGGCATGGTCCCAGCATCACCCCATCCTGGAGCATGGAGGAGCACTGGGGGTGGAGTGGGCTACGGGCCTGGTGCCCTCACCTTCTCCAGCAGCGGCTTGACGCAGTGCAACGTGTCCTGGATATACTGGTTCAGCTCCGGGTGACAGGACATCTGCACACAACCCCATGATGGCTGGTGAGGCTGCAGCACTGATGGGAGGAGCCATCGGAGACCCCCTCCAGCAGCCCAAGGGCCTGTCTGCCTTCGGAGAGAGGCACAGCAGTTCCCTAGGGCTCCCCACCCAAGAGACAGACTTCCCATCACGAGGCTAAGAACTGAATTATCCACAGAGGGAGAGAAGTTAGAAGATCCTAAGAATTCAGTCTCAACATTAGCATTTAATATAGCATTAGGAGTTCCTAACGCGGGGTCACTGAGCTCCTCCAGGGTCTGAGAAGTCTTTAAATTGTGAGTGTTTGAGCATACAGGCATTTTTCCAGAGATGGGATCCAGGAATTTAATCCATTTTCGAACATTAAGAATCTGGAACGGACTTCCCTTGGTGGCGCAGTGGTTAAGAATCCGCCTGCCGATGCAGGGGAGAGCCCTGGTCTGAGAAGATCCCACATGCCGCAGAGCAACTAAGCCCGTGCCCCACAACTACTGAGCCTGCGCTCTAGAGCCCGCGAGCCACAACTACTGAAGCTTGTGTGCCTTCAGAGCCGGTGCTCCGCAACAAGGGAAGCCACCGCAGTGAGAAGTCTGCGCACCGCAACGAAGAGCAGCCCCTGCTCACCGCCAACTAGAGAAAGCCCTCGCGCAGCAGCGAAGACCCAATGCAGCCAAAAATAAATAAATAAATTTATTTAAAAAAAGAATCTGGAAATAAGGAGTTGTGCGGCCTCAGGCTTAACTTCTCTGTGCTTTAGTTACTTCATCTGTGGAAGATCTCATTTTAAAAAAGTGAGGATTAAGTGAGATAAGTAACTAGTACACGGTGGGTGCTCAGTAAGTGCTGATTCTTTTTTTCCTTTTCTTTGTATATCTTTTTGTTTTTGGGGGGTTTTTCCCCCCTGTATATCTTTTAAGCTTCCACCACCTTCCAGTATTCGGTCATTTATTCTAATATTTACTAAGTGCTTTCTAAGGGACAGGCACTTCTTGAGGCTGGGGTTAGAGTAGCATATATTTACTGCTTTGTCTGCCTTTTAACCTAAAGCAACCCGTTACAATTAGGGTAAATGAGGGGAGAGGGAAGATGCCTGAGGTTTATAGGAATCCCCTCCCCAAACCAACCATTCACCAGCTTCAGGAGACCTTTAAAATAAAGATGGGGGGCCGGGGGGCTCTAATCGGAGGGCCTGGTCCCTAACTTCTAGCAAGGGGAACTCCCAGTTCAGAGGGGACAGAAGGAAACGCCACTGCGGTGAGGGGTGGGAGGTTGTCGGGCTATCAGCAGCTGCCGGGAACTAGAAGGCAAGGCCAGGCCGCTGGGGACTGAGAGGGCTGAGCCTGAAGGAAGAAAGTTAAAAATGTCCTCTCTACCCACTCTGTGATACGGGGGTGACCCAGTGCACCCAGTCTGGATGTGGGGCTCACCTGGACAGGCACGTTGTACTTCTTACGCTTCTGGAAGATGCCCACCGGGTAAACCTCACGCACGTACAGGATCAGGTGCACCGCCACCTCCAGGAACTCGCAGAGCACGTCGGCCACCACTGCGAGGGGGCAGAACCCGGTGCGCTCGGGGAAGTCCGCCAGCCCAGGCCCTCCCTCGCCCCCCGCCAGGGTGCACAGGTCCAGCCTCTCTACCTTGACCAAAGTTGAGGTCCTGTCGCGTGAGCGTGGTCATCCTTCCCGATACCTAGGGGGTGGGGCAGGAGCCGGAGCTAGTCCCTAAGGCCCCGATAGCCGCAGGGCCCGCCCACCTCCACTGCCCCTCCCCTCCGTCTGGGGGGAATCTGGGCAGGACCGCCCCTCCCTTCACACAGAACCGGAGCAGCTGGGAAGGACCCCCCACGCTGGCGTCAGAGCTCGGAGGCATCAGCTGCGCCGCGATCAGCCTCTGCGCACTGGCCGCCTCGCCCTGCAGTCTCCTGGGAGTAGATAAGCCCAGAGCTGTGCCCGCATAAAGGGGACCGCCGCAGAGGGAACAGCTGGATGCGCAGGGCCGGTAGCGTGAAGCCGGACACGCGGAAAGCGAAACTAGGCTGGAATAAGACTTCACCTCCTGCCAGGCTGGATTCTTCCCCTGAGGGAATCGCGCCCTTCTCCTCTTCCCCGGTACCGGCTCCGGCCTCGATTCCGGACTCGGGGCCAGGCCCCCGCGAGGGAATCCACGGACCGATCACTCGCGCCTCGCGCCCAACCAGAGGCCCAGGCGCCGCTCCATGACGTCTGCGACGCTCCGGCGGGTCCTAGCGCCGGCTTCCAGCCACGCCCACCCCCCGCGCAGCCAACCACGGGTGCAGGAGGGAGAAACGGCCAGAGGGGCGGGGCTTGGGGGGGGGGGGGCCCTGCCTGGGCGCCGGTGTGATCCCAGGGCCGATGCTGCACCACGCCTCTTCCTTTCAATTTTAGGTGGGCGCGAAAAGAGACAACTTTGGTCTCCACATCGGATCGCAACGTATTTTCCCCCCAGGGCATTTCTCTCGCTTTAGGAGGCGCGGGAAGAGGTAGCGTACGTGTTGCTGGGGAGAGCCAGCTCGAGGTCGCAGCTGAGCACTATGGACAGCGACATCTACCGCTAGCTCCGCAGTCACCATACCCGGAACCTCAGCTGCCCAACCGAAAGCGAATCCGCCGGCTCCGGGGCGGGGACAGGGGAGGGCCGGCGAGCACCGGGGACGTCCCCGTCCCCACCCCCACCCGGAGCCTAAATGCAGCCAGTCTTTACCTCCCAAGGAGGTAAAAACTTCCCGGGCCGTGCATCATAACAATAGCTGACATTTATAGAGGTCCAGCCATGTGCCAGGGACTGGGCTAAGTGTGTTCGTGGATCAGCTCACTAAATCCTCAAAACAATTCCACGCGACAGTTGCCATGATTGTCCCCGTTTTACATATGAGCCAAGTGAAGTTCAGAGGGGTGAAGTAACCCGCCCGAGTTCCCCAGCTATTGGGGGAGGCTCCCCCAGAGGCATGGACTCTGGAAGGGCTGAGAGGACCCTGGGAAATAATAATATTAATATTAAAATAATTACTAACATGCATTGAGCACTTATTATGTTTCAAGCACCGATTTCTTTAATTCTCTCATTAACCCTAGGAGCTAAGCCTTCATTTTACAGTCCCACTTTATAGATGGTAAAACAGGCTCAGAGATGTTCCCTAATTTGCCAAAATCACACAGTTGGAATACAAACCCAGTTCTGACTTCTACTCGAACTCCAGGGCTTCACCTTATTTTCAGCCCCTTTATGTTACAGATGGAAAAACTAAGGTCAGAGAAGTGGCTGAGGAGTTACGGCAAAAACTCAGGGCCAGAAGTACGGGGATCTTGTCTCTGACCTCCAGGGACACAAAAGCTTGTTAGGAGTCATGCCCATCTGCTAGTACACAGATATAGCTAGGAATGTTTACCGTTTACTGCTTAGTATTGGAGACCTGCACCTCCTTCACCCCAGATGCTTTCAAACCTGCATTTACACACTTCTGATGGGGTGGGGGCAGGGGAGAGAATAACTAACCTAGCCCATTAAGCCAAGAATGCCAGCAGGGCATTTCTCAAAAGCAGCCCTAGGAAATCTGCATCAGGATCCCCAGGGAGCCCATTAAACATCTGGAACCTGGGCTTCCCTGACCTACCAGGTCAGTTGGGGTGCACAGCAGGGCACTAGCCCTTTAACAAGCTCCCAGGGGCCCTGATGCCCAAGAAAGTGTGGGAATTGCAACCACAGTGGTTTGGGCTTTTCCAGGGAAAGTCTGCATTTCATAAAATTGCAATGCTTAACCCAATGGAATGGATGATTTATTTCAGAAATGGATGCACCTGGCAGCACATTTGGGGCACAGCAATCCTTTCCAAGACCTGGGGACCCTGCCCATGTCATATAGAAGAGGACCATTTCCATATGGAAAGAGCTGAGCAGCTCACCTGCTTGTAGACAGGTGTCCCCTGTCTACAGTTGAGATTTAATCACTGAGGATGCTTTGGAAACTGGAGAGATTTGAGGGTCCCTCTTTGCCCGTCCCTGGAGCCCGCTCAAGCAGCATTTTCACTGGTAACAGAAAGTGGCAGTCTTAAGGGGTCAATTCCTTGTAAAGGGTCCCTTAGGATTGGGGTCTAGGGTGGAGAAACTCAGAGCCCAGCTACTCCTGTGGGGTGGCCTCCGAGGCACAGTGTGAGCGACCTGGGGGCTCATGCCAGGCATTCCTTCATGGGCCCTAAGCCCCAGCCCCCCACCCCCCACCCTGAGACAACACAGTGCAAGCCACCCATAGGTCTCCTGCCACACAGAGCTAAAGAACTTCAGAGAAACCTTGGTGGACATACACCCCAAAACTCTCATTTTTCCAGTGAGGACATTGAGGTCCCAACAGCTTTGTTTGACACTGGGGCACCCACCCTGTCAACTGTAACCTGGATAAAAACGCCTACGTTCGGGGCTTTGGATTCGGAGCCAGCCATAAACAGGAAGGGGGGCTAGGAGACAGATGAGGAGGGATCAAACTGATCGACCTCAGCCCCCAAAAGGCCTCCATCTCATTTGTGAAATGAACAGGCTGGACAGATGTTCCCTAAACCTCTGATGGCCTCGGGTCCCATGGGGGCCAAGAAGCTGGGCATGGGGCAGGGGTAGGGGGCCGAATCAGCATGGGGCCATGGGGGAGCTCTGTGAAAAGTCATCTGTTACTTCCATCCATTCAGCATCTGGTTTTTCATATCTTAATCGCATCAGCATGATGGATGGTCACGGATTACAGATTACAGATTACAACCCCAGATTACATAATGGGGTTAATTTATTACATTTTTGAATACCCACTTGCTGGGAGACTGTTTTTCAAAGGTATTTGCATATCTTTCACCATAACGACAATGTGTAGGAGGGCATCTGGGAGGGAAGGATGGATGTTTAGGAGGGGAGAGAGCTTATTTGCCAACTGAAGCAGGTTCCTGAGGGTCTGCAATGGGAACGGAGAGCAAATCACTCCCTAGAGACATTTAAATTGAAACTAAGAGAAGGTGAGATGCAAGAAAGTTTTGCAAAGACTGCATGGGTGAAGGAAGATTCCTGGGGTTCACTGAACAGCACATAATGAGTGAATGGGGTATAATAACAAGCAATGAAGTGTCCAGACCCCTAAGATGCTTCCAGAGTCCCATTCTCACCATTCTGATCACAGGACATATTATCCATCCCATCCCTGCCTAAGGTTCCCAGGACACCAAACACAGGGAGGTGGGAGGAGCCACAGAGTCAGCACGTATAGCCTGGTGACAATCCCACTGATACCACGATATTCAGGAACCCAGCCAGCTGGGATGCCCCCTGAGCAGAGGCCCAGCCTCATTCATTCTCTTAGTCCAGCACCTCACCAGTGCCTGGCCAAATCCAGGTTCTGAATGAATGTGTGTCCAATGAGCGAATGAAAGAATGAAGGCATGAAATGATGGTGGGCAGTGTCTCATTGCCACTTGCCTGACATGAATCCTAATTTAGTCTGGATAAGGAGCAAAGACCTCTGATTTCAGTGCTTGGGCTCTAGGTGGTGGTGTGCAGAGAAAAGCTGCTTTCACAAATGAAGCAAGAGCTGCGGATTGCTCACTACGGTGCCCCTCACACCCACTGGGCTGCTGCTTCTCTCCCCACCACTGCCCCTTAACCTGCTGTGAGGCCTTCCCTCTCTGATTCTCAGTTTCCTCATCTGTAAAATGGGACCATGGCAGCACCAATTCCATAGAGTTGAGCAAGAAGTAAGTGAGATAATGTTTGTAAAAATATAAAGTGCACAATGCCTGGCACATAAATGCCTAATTACTGGCTGTTATGACAATGATATTAAGATTGACACACACACTTGCTAGCTTCCGCAGCACACATACAAAAATTGGAACGATACAGAGATTAGTGTGGCCCCTGTGCAAGGACAACACGCAAATTTGTGAAGCGTTCCACGTTTTTCTAAAAAAAGAGTGGATATATGTGTATGTATAACTGATTCACCTTGCTGTACACCTGAAACTATCACAACATTGTAAATCAACTATACGCCAATAAAAATTCTAAAAAAAGATCGACACACACTATCTAAGCCCCTAGAGCAAACACTCTGAACCAGCCATCATGCCTTTCAAAACCCCAACCAAAACACCCGTAGCTGTGCCCCTCCTGCCATTCCCACTTCCCAAGGCAGCAGGCAGCCCCCAAGATGCCCTTAAGGTGGGCATGCATCCTCATGGCCCGAGATGCCTAAAGACAAGTGGCTGCGGCTGAAGACAGCTCCTCTCCCCTCTCATCTAGTCTTCTGGTGTGAGGCCTGACCTGCCCAGCTGCCCCAGATCCTGGGGTCCACGGCTGACCTCAGACCCAGGTCAGAGCCCTGACCTTAGGCCAGTAACACTGGGCGGCTTCCAATAGTTCAACCAGGGCAGAGCCCCCATGCCATTCCGTCCCTGAAGTTCTGCTGACTCCGCAGTGTCATTGACACCTTGTTGGTCAGGAGGATCTGACAGGTCATCTCTTCTTAAACTTTGAACTTTTATCCACAGAAATGCAGAGACACTAAATGTTTTCCACAATTTTAGGGGTTGCCGGGACCTCTGAAGTCATCCTCAACCACAGGGTAAGAACCCTTGATCCAACTCAACTGCCACTTTTTAAAAATAACTACTTTATTGAGATATAATTCACAAACCATAAAGTTCATCCTTTTAAAGCATGCAATTCAGTGGTTTTTAATATAGTCACAAAGTTGTGCGTCAATCACCACTATCTAATTCCAGAACATTTCCATCACCCCAGAAAGAAAAACCCCCGCATACATTGGCAGCCACTTCCCCAGTCTCGCCTTCTGCCAGCCCCTGGTAACCAACCACTAGTCTACTTTCTGTCTCTATGGACGTGCCTATTCTGAACGTTTCATGTAAATCATACAATATGTGGCCTTTTACGTCTGGTTTGTTTCACGTAGCATTCATGTTTTCACGGTTCACCAAAATTGCGGCATGTACTGGTACCTTCATTCTTTTTGTGGCCAAATAATATTCTGCTGTATGAATATACCACATTTTGTTTATCCACTCATCAGGTGATGGATATTTGAGTTGTTTCCACTTTGGCCATTCAAACATGGGGAAACTGAGACCCAGAGTCACCATAACCTAGATGGGATAGGAGTCCAGACCTCTCTCCTAACATCCACCTTTTCCTGCAGCATTGCTCTGGGAGGACCCAGAAAACAGAGAGTCCAAGCATGGCAAAAGATCGCCCCACTGGTGAATAGCCATGGCAACAGCATTTGAACCAGAGGATCCAATAACTTGCTTCTGGTTCAGTAAATGCTGGGCCACAGCTTCATCCTTGACAGAGAGAATCATACCCACTGTCCCCCTCCCAGGCCCAAGCCACCATCACCTCTTCTCTGCCACTGTTCCTAGCTGGTCTCCCTGCTTCTGTCCTTGCCAAATGCAGTCTATTCTCAACTTTGGGAATCAGAGTGAATTTGTTAAAACCTAAGTCAGATCATGTCTCTGCTCTGCTCACAACCCAATCCATCCTCGTGCCTGCCCATCAGGCTGATAATATTACAATAACAATAGCAGATAATTTTTCTAGAGCATATCCTGTGGGGTCAGGACCTTAGGAACATTATCTCCTTACACAGGCCACTGCACTTAATCCTTGAACCCTGAGAGTTACGGATAACGGTGAGCTCAGAGAGGTTAGGCCCCTTGCCCAAGCACACGGGGAATGAATGACAGCAGAAGAGGAGCCCAGGCATCTAACCTGACTACAGAGCGGAGCTCTTAAAACTCTGAGACATAATTTGCCACACTGGAGAAAGAAGAAAACAGCCGAAATGGAAGCCGCTGGGCCAGCTCTGGGCGCCAGGCAAGACTGCTGCTTCCCGCGAAGGCGGGCCCGCCCCACCGCTCTCTGATCTTTGCAGCGCCTGCGGCCCCCCTGACCCCGCGGTGAGTTATGGGGGCCGCGGGACCCATAACACAGCATTCCGGGACTCCCAGGGTCGGCAGGACGCGGCACCCTGCTCTGTGATGGATGAGCCACCCCTAGCGCTGGCTTTGTCCTGCCTGGGCCGGGTTGGGGAGCATCAGACCTACTTTGGACGGGGCGTGGCGAGAGGCGGACCGCGCGCGCGCGTGTGTGTGTGTGTGTCTGTGTGTTGGGTAGTGGTATTGTCTTTTTCCCTTCCCTCCCAGGGTGTGTGAGTGGGGAGCGGACACTAGCGCAGCCGTCAGTGCTCCCGAGTCTCACCTGGTAGCGCTTTGAAGACCCCCCCTGGACCCCCACGTCGAAGAGCGACCCCTCCCTGAACCTCGCCCCCCACTCTGCGCACTTTCGGAGGCTACTGAGGCCCCGCGGTGCCCCGTTCCTCCTCCCTCGCACAGGGCATTTCTTCCGTCCCATTTGACAGCCTAGGCGGAATAATCCTTTTGGGGAACCGCCGGCCTCTGCGCTGCCAGACGCTGCCGCAGCTGAGCGCTCAGCTCCGATCCATTGTTGGGGTCCGCCAGGGACCCCCTGCCGCGGCCCTTTGTCGCCCGCTCCCTGCCGGGCCGCTCCAGATGCGCCACCGCTGCCCGCGCCCCGCCCGTCCCACGCGCCCCGGGCCGCGCAGAGGCGGCTCTTCCGCACCGGGAGGAGTGGGCCCGCCTCTCCCGGTGCCTGCACTGCCGCCCGGCTGCTCCCGCCTTTGTCTACCTTCTTTGTCTGCCCCGCGCCTTCGCGGCGGCGGCGGCTAGGCCTCTGGGGAGGGGGCCCGGAACGCCGAGCGCAGCTGGCGAGGGCGCGCTGGCCGAGAGCGCGCGGGGCCCGGCCCGGCCCGGGGCTGCCCCTCGGCTGGGGGCAGTGGAGCCCGCTCGCCGCCGCCCCTCCCCCGTCCCCTCCGCGTGCTCCCGCCCCCTTCCCTCACGCCCGCCCCCTCCCCCTTCCCTCCAGCCCAGCTCAGCCTCGGCACATCCTCCTGCCGCCCGCGCACCTCTCCGCGCGGTCCCGGCTTCGCGGCTCGGCCTTCCGCTGCGCTCAGCTCCCGCAGGCGCTCGGCCCCGCGCCCCTCGGCCCCTGCCCCGCCGGTCGGACAGGTAAGGCTTGGCCTTGGCCCGCCCCCGGCTCCGC